AGATGTGTTCTATCCCATTATTTCAATATAGACAGGTAAACAGAATTGGGCCATTGTAAGAAAATAAACAAGCAAGAATGCAACTTAACCTGTAAACAAGATGTCCGTGGAAGTAAATTTTACCGTAAACTTAGGAGGTCAGAATGAAGCAAAAACAAACAATGGTAAATTCAGTGAAAGAAAAAGCAGTTTCCGAATCTCCAAGTGTATTGGTCCATTTTCACACTGCTGTAAAGAACTGCCCAAGACTGGGTAATTTATACAGAAAAGAGATTTAATTGACTCACGGTTCTGCATGGCTGGGAAGGCCTCAGGAAACTTACAATCATGGCAGAAGGCAAAGGGGAAGCAAAGACCTTCTTCACATGGCGGCAGGAAAGAGACAGCATGTGAGTGCAGGAAAAACTACCATTTATAAAACCACCAGGTCTCGTGAGAATTCCCTCACTATCATGAGAACAGCATGGGGGAAACCGCCCCCATAATCCAATCACCTCTCTCCCTTGACACATGGAGATTACAAATCAAGATGAGATTTGGGTGGGGGCACAGAGCCAAACCATATCACCAAGATACATCAGGGCATTTCTCAACACTAAAGTTTGAAGATGCGAGTAGCAGAGGGATGCTCTAAGACAAGCATCCCTAAGACAAGCCAGAACATCAGAAAATTTGATGACCAGTTCACCTGACTTGGAAAACTGCCGTACTATTAAAACCTAAAATATTTATTTCTGAATCAGAGAACTTGGGGGCAAGTTATGTAAATTGGAGGTAATTTTGATCTGAAAACTTTTAAAAACCAAATGGGACTTGAAAAAATTCAAATTGTTGATTAACTTTTAAAATCTTTAGCTCAACAATATTAATAGTGTAAACACAAGCAGCTAAATGCTTCCAAGAAAGCCTGCATAACTCACAGGATCCTCTAATCCGGCCAAGAAGGAAGGGAGAGGCCAGGTGTTCTGGCTCACGCCTGTAATCCCAGCACTTTGGGAGGCTGAGGCAGGCAAATCATGAGGTCAGGAGTTTGAGACCATCCTGGCCAATGTGGTGAAACCCCATCTCTACTAAAAATACAAAAATTAGCTGGGTGTGGTGGCGCACGCTTGTAGTCCTAGTTACTTGGAAAGCTGAGGCACTAGAATCGCTTGAACCCGGGAGGCAGAGGTTGCAGTGAGCCAAGATCATGCCACTGCACTCTAGGCTGAGCGACAGAGTGAGACTCTGTCTCAAAGAAGGAAGGGAGAGAGAAACTGAACTGAAATAGGCTAGTTCTGCCAAGAGAACTGCCTTTTCTGCCCGTGAAACTCTTCATCCCTGGAAGGTGGCGTTAAAGACCCTTCCCTACATGTGCGTGCGTTGTTCTTCAGCTCTGTTTCTACCAGTACATGCAGTACAAGAGCAAATAAAACCATTTAGAGCCATCCCAGGTGCATCATTACAGCAAAGGCCGAAAGTATCCTTGCCCCACACTTGGCAAAAATAAGGATGAGTAACATACGAGTGACCTCAAAGCCCCAGTGTACACTTTGGCTGTTCACACAATGTCCTGGATGCTTGTTAATGAAAACAGGCTTTTGTCATAGCAACCCCAGTAACTGAAGAAATCTGATGCCCCTGCCGCATACCCTCTCCCTACCCCAACCCAGTGAGCTATTGCAGTGTTCTTACAGAGCTGGTGCAATAAAAATATTTTCAGTTAGCAGACATTCTTTTCTGCTACTTGATCTCAATATTTCTCTATTAGTTTTATCCCATTTGTCCCATAGTTGTGTTGATGGGAAATAAATGATCACACTCACCCTACAATACAGGCAAAATTTTAGTGCAGGGCTTAAATGGTTGGGCTGTGGACCTAGAGTGTCTGAGTTCAAATCCTGACTCTTCATCCGTTTCCTACCTATGTGGCTTGGAGTACTGATACTTTTTCCTTATCTGTAAAATAGGAATAGTAATAGAAGGTACCTCCTAGGGTTACTGAGAAGATTACATGAGATTAAGCCTGGGAAGCGCTGGGCACAGGCCTGCCACATAGTAAGTGGGCAGTAGACATTCGCTGCCATTGATATTCTTGGGTTGCTACTTAAGAGGCTTCATTTTGACATTAAGTTTGGCAAATGGGAGGTCCTGGCCACTTGAAGCTGAAGGACTACCTGTGGTTAATAATTATCCCACAGAGATGGATATAGATTCAGCATTTTCAGGGGGTAGCATCTCCTTGTAAAGGAGGAATACATTTTGATTGCGCCACTTCTGTATTTTGATTAGGAAATGGATCTAGAAATTGCAATTTATTATTATTTTTTTTAATGAGGTGGAGTTTCGCTCTTGTTGCCCAGGCTGGAGTGCAGTGGCACCATCTCGGCTCACTGCAACCTCTGCCTTCCAAGTTCAAGCGATTCTCCTCCCTCAGCCTCCCAAATAGCTGGGATTACAGGCGTCCGCCACCACACCCAGTTAATTTTTTTGTATTTTTAGTAGAGATGGGGTTTCACCATGTTGGCCAGGCTGGTCTTGAATTCCTGACCTCAGGTGATCCACCCGCCTCGGCCTCCCAAAGTGCTGAGATTACAGGCGTGAGCCACCACACCCAGGCTGCACATTTCTTGAATAGTGTTATGTGAGTCTTTCCTCTTTCAACATACTCAGAGGTAGAATTTTCTCATATTGAGATATACCTGCAGTTGCTATAGCTCTAGCAGGAAAGCGCTTGTGCACGGTAGGTCCTGGGGAGGAGGCCCAGAAGTGATGGACTTGGTGCACCTCCACCTGGGTGTGGTACGATTTCTCCCACCCACTTCCACCCTAGCATCTCGAAGATACCAGGGGCATTGGCTGAAAAAGACTGATCACAGTCTTCCAGCGATGAGTCTAATCACTGCCGGACCTGAATCAGCCAGATATGTTTGCCTTCATTGTTTCAACTGTGAACAATATAGTGAGGCAACACCCTTGTCTGAAGGAGTTTCTTTGGCTCAGTGATGCCCACATTCAAGGTATTAAACATCAATAGATACACTACTGAGAAGGCAAAGTCTTATTCCTATTGTAGAACTGTAAGTTATCCTCTTTAGGAAATAGCTGCAACAGAGGTGAGGAAGTGTTCCAAAGTGAGGCCTTGAGTTTTCTCTGCAGAGCTTTCCAGAACATGTTAAATAGAAGCAGGAGGCAGCTGATCCTAGTTCATAAGTTTCCTTCCTGCTCACATAACCACCTCTCACTCTCCACGTTCTTCAAGTATATACTATGAAGTCCAGTTTCTTTCATCCTTCCCAAAGGCCAACCCACTAGCCTTACCTCAGTGACTCTCTGTATAGTTAGACTCAAATCGTGTAATTAACATAAGTCAAGTGTCTGCAAACTAAGTATCTGTTTACAAATAATAAATTCTAGCTCATTCCCTCAACTAGGATTTGTACCTTCTATGTACCTGTGGAAAGCATTGGGTATAGACAGTGGTTAAAAAATAAACTCTATGAGGTCTGAGAGCATGACTAAAGTTAATGAGGGAGACAGACATGATACAAGGAAACCAATAAATATATAATTATACATTTTACTCATGCAGGAAAAAAGAATGACACTATAAGAGAAAACAAAGGGAACCAACTCAGGATTGAATCAGGGAGGGCCTCTCTGAGGAGGTGATATTTAAGCCAAGCCTGAAGGAAGAGAATCATCCAAGTAAAATTTGGAGCTAGGGCATTTCAGGCAGAGGGAGCAGCAAGCGAGGATAAAAACTCCGAGGAAGCTTTGTGCGCTGTTGTGTGAGTGATGACAGGTGAGAGAGGAGGTAGGAGGGGAAGGCAGGGGTAGAATCCTGAGGCTCTGCTTGTTGTGATTTTATTCTGAATGGATGCTTGTATTAGGTCTGTTCTCACGCCACTAGTAAAGACATACCCAAGACTGGGTAATTTATAAAGGAAAGAGGCTGAATGGACTCGCAGTTCCATATGGCTGGGGAGGCCTCACAATCATGGCAGAAGGCAAATGAGAAGCAAAGTCCTGTCTTATGTGGTGGCAGGCAAGAGAGCTTGCGCAGGGAAACTCCCATTTATAAAACCATCAGTCTCATGAGACTTATTCACTATCACGAGAACAGTATGGGGGAAACCGCCCCCATGATTCAGTGATCTCCACCTGGTCCCACCCTTGACACATGGGGATTATTACAATTCTAGGTGAGATTTGGGTGGGGACACAGCCAAACTATATCAATGCTGGAGACAAAAGCAGAGTAGTGACCATCCAAACGATGTTCTTGAAAGGTCTCTCGGCTGGGCACAGTGGCTCACGCCTGTAATCCCAGCACTTCGGGAGGCCGAGGCAGGTGGATCACGAGGTTAGGAGATTGAGACCATCCTGCCTAACACGGTGAAACCCCGTCTCTACTAAAAATACAAAAAAATTAGCCGGGCATGGTGGCAGGTGCCTGTAGTCCCAGCTACTGGGGAGGCTGAGACAGGAGAATGGCGTGAACCTGGGAGTCGGAGCTTGCAGTGAGCTGAGATTGCGCCACTGCACTCCAGCCTGGGCGACAGAGAGAAACTCTATCTTAAAAAAAAAAAAAAAAAAAAAGTCTCTCTATCCATTGCCTGCCAGGTAGATTTGAAGAAGGGAGGGGAGAAGGCAGAAGATGCACAGGGAGGCCATTGCAATAATCTGGATGAATGGAGGTGGTGACTGGGGCTGGGACTATTGCAGTAGAGAAGGAGAGAAATGGGAAGCTTTGAGGTATGCTCGAAGGTAAACCAGAAGTTCTCGTAGGGAACAAGGAGCAGGAAGGGCCAGAGAAAGGCCTCCCCATGCCTTTTCAAAACTGGATCATACAACTAGTTTGCATTTACCTTTCCTTCTAGGTTTGTTATCTTATTCAAAAAGGTGGTAAATGTTTCTTTTTTTCACTAGCTGAGTTTTTAGTAAAGCTTAAGGGCCCAGGACAGTCTAGATTCTGAAGCCAGGGTCCGAAATCTTACAAGTCACTGTTTATTTTACAGCCTACCAGGACATCCTCGGAAAGTATTTATTCTAGACCAGGCTCCAGTATTCCTGGCTCACCAGGTCATACTATCTATGTAAGTATCTACTTCTGGAAGTGACATTTCTGGGACAGGTAAATTAGTGGGTTGTAATAGCAGAATGGGTAATCCAAAACAAAAACTAATTCAAAGTGATTTCTATTTTTGTTATGAGACCTGATTTTCATTTTTATAGAACAGTCTCCTCAATCATGTTTACCTTTAGGTAATTACAGTTATATGTGACCATCAACAGAGTGATCAGACAACCTGTAAAATGTAGTAATATGTTACAGGACTTAAAAAATTCTTGCACCTAAGATTCCATCTCAAAAAAAAAAAATTCTTGCACCTAAATTGCATATAGATATTTGGGGATTAAATATATATTTTATAATGCTGATACTGAGTGTTCTTAAATTCTACCACAAAGATATTTAAATATTTAGTTTATTAATTATGCAGTTCTTGTTTTTAACCATCTGAAAGGATTATTGGACCATCTGTTTGAGCTTTTTCCTTCACTGTCATAAATTCAGGAAATTATCCTTAAGGTTTGCATGTTTATCTATTTCATGAATTCTACACAGATTTTTTCCTAAGTGTTCAGTGACTTTTTCAAAAAAAAAAGATTAATACATGGTGTAAAATGATTAATACATGGTGTAAAATGATTAATACATGGTGTAAAGGACAACTTCTAAAGAGTGTAACTGTGCTAGGCAAGATGTTTTGGTTTTTGTTTATTTTAAGGCCTTCACGTTTTAAACAACAGGAAATGTGCCAACAACAGTTTCCCAAAGCAACGAGACTGCAAGGTAATTGTTCTTTCTGGTTAACTTTGCCAGGCAAAAGTAGACAATGAGATCCTGGATTACAAGGATTTAGCAGCCATTCCCAAGGTCAAGGCAATTTATGACATTGAACGTCCAGATCTTATTACCTATGAGCCTTTCTACACTTCGGGCTATGATGACAAACAGGAGAGACAGAGCCTTGGAGAGGTAATACATTCCTAGTGGTTGTGAGTTGTACGACAATTTACCTTCTCTTTTGTCACATTTGTAATAACTACCATTTGGAGTTTAGGTAAATCAGGTGGTCTTTTGTCTGCCTAGTATTTGCAGATTTCTAGACCAGGTGCTTGGAGGTATTCAGAAGCCCATCATGAGAGGTGGGAGAACAGACCAATGGCACATCAAACAACAGTGAAGAACGGCTAAGCATTAGCATGCTGGGATGGAAACTGTCCGGAGGTGGGGAGGGAGTGGGGAGAAAGAGGGCAGGGCTTCTGTGAGCTGGGCAGAGCAAATAAGGGAGTGAGAGTCTCCTGGGGGGTGTCTAGTGATAACTTTAAGTATATTCATGGGATCATGAAGAGAGAGAACACACCCCCCCTAAATTTTGGTAGCTACAGTTTTCAGCAACTTAAGAAAGTTAGAATATACAAGAAAAAATAAAGTAGAGAGCATGGGGCAACAGTCTAGCACAGGCGTGTGAGCCAGGATTCTGGAATCAAATTACCTGGTCTCAACCCAGGGATCACCACATGCTGATTGTCTGACTTTGACCATGTGACAGCCATTCTGCTCCTAGTTTCCTGGGCCAAGTACAGTGCTCGTACCTCTAATCCCAACATTTTGGGAGGCTGAGGGCAGGAGGATTGCTTCAGGCCAGGAGTTGAAGACCACCCTGGACAACATAGTGAGACCTCGTCTCTATATTAAAAAGATAAGAAAAATGGTCCTAGTTTCCTCACGTGTAAAACAGATAGGGTAATGATAGAATCTAACTCATAGGGTATTGGTGAGGATTAAGCAAGCTAATCTACATAAAGCGATTATCAGAGGCCAGACTTGGGAGAAATACTGAGCATGTGGCAATCTCTACCATTGTTGCTACCTGTCCTCTTGGGGCTCGTTAATACTCGGCCCACAGACCCATCCGCTGTGGGACCAGAGCCCCTCAGCCCCTTGGGATCCTCCCCTCCCCGGTCCCATCCCAGGGTTGAAGGTTCTCTGTGGCGCCTACCCAAGTCCATTTCCCCTGGCCAATCAGCTCACTG